CAGCCCCCGTTCACGAGCTCCAGAATCCCTTTACCGTGACGTCACCACGGCGGTAGAATCTCCCTTCAGCCATAGGCATGCATGCAAATTTCATCATCTTTCGAGCGAGCTGGAGAAAAAGACAAGGATTGTGTGTCATCAAAGGTTGTACCAATGTAACAATGAGTTCGCCTCATTTATCATTACGATAAATGGGGCTGAAACTAAAAAATAGGACTATATTGAGCAAAAATCAGCAATTCAAATGACCCATTCATTTGAACGTGAAGGATTTCCTCTGATGACGTCACCACGGCGCCTTTATTTCCCTAGAGAACCAACCTGAGTAGTAAAGGAATCTTGCTACAAGCAACCTCTGCAGAGGCAATTTTGGAAGCATTGCTACGTGCCCTAGACACAGACAAACTCCAGGTGAGTCGTCTAGTGGGCATTGGTTTGGACGGTGCCATTTCGATGGTCGGACCAGGTGGGTGACGGCACGTGATCGCCTGAGGCGGTGGGGGGTAAAAATATTTTCGTCATTTAATGCTCCATACAATCGCTGCGACTTTTTACAAGACCTTCTCCTCGTCGTTGTTTCTCGCTATCAACGACTGGTCCCCGAGTGATGACTATCCTCACGCAAGATAGGATGAATGGAGCTAGCAATTAAGCCCAAAAAAGATATCGAAAATGTTACAAAACACTTCTTTTGAAGGAGATGAATTGAATGGTTTTGGAGCCTCACGAAAGACGTTTCAGATATGACGCGTCAAACAAACTGACGCATAAAGACTGTGTTCAAAAGTGCTGCCGTCCAAAGGAAAAAAGCGTAAGTGACATTTCCTAACTTTTCAGGAGAGCGATTTTTGTGTTTTGTTTTTCTGTGTGCGATACGGGGCATCCTATTGGCATTTCAAACTTAAAATTGATACCAAAATGATCGTAATGATGCCGGGAACAAAATGGTATACATTTTACCGCCAATGGCAAAACAACTTTTGTTATATTATCGGAAAGTTTTTTTTTTTTTTTTGCTTTGGACTCCTGCCGTGAAATGCCGGTCATTACACTATAAGAAAAGCGTAAGTGCGTTTTCGACCCCAGCGAGAAGCGTATGTCGCGTCTTTCATAATGAGAGAGGGATTAATCCAATAAAAGAAAAGCGTATGTGCGAACTTACGCTTTTGTTTCGTTGTATCAAGCTCGTTTTGTCATAGCTTTTTGTCCCCAATTGCAGTGTCCCATACTTATAACTTGCACCCAAAACCATAGATAATCAGTGAATGTATTGCATATTTCATTTGCATGTTAGATAGTATGTCGCAAAAATCTAGAAATCGTTACACTGACGGGCTATATAGATGATCAGTGAATGTATTGCATATTTCATTTGCATGTTAGATAGTATGCCGCAACAATCTAGAAATCGTTACACTGACGGGTTATAAACCCTGTCCCAACCGGACGAGCCACACGGTACAGCTGCTAAGCGTTTGAAAGTACATATGGTCAGAAAGAACATATGGTCGAATGCATACGCAACGCGTCAACACTTCTCTGTGTTCGCCTGCCACTTAGCCGGTGAGGTCTCGGACCGGCTTTTTTCCCGCCTGTTTCTTCTGGAGGTCCAGCCAGAAGTGACGTTTGTGAGGTGCCATCAATGGCAGAAGCGATCTGCAGATGCGCTCAATTTTTGCGAAGTTCACGCCCCCGGCCTCCTCCCTCCTGTCTGGCATGGCAGCCGGGTCATATGTCACCTTCATAAGATCGAACCCCCGCACACTGGGCCGGGGGCCCGGAAAAGTGCTAGAAATTATCTGTGATTGAGTTGTTGATCTCAGTGACAAGCAAACATGCTCAAAACGAAATGGGGCTGCTTAACCCTCGCCGGACCTATTGTCGGACCCCCCACCCCCTCGGCCGGCCGAGGGGGGAGGGTTGGTACGACCCCTTTTCGCCGTTTCGCCCCTAATGGAGCTAGAGCCTCGCGGAAAAAACAAGCGTGTGCGCCGTTTCAAGACGGAACGATTGATACCCGATTTTAAGGTCCCAGGTCAACCGGTAACCTCTGAGGTGAAGTCAAAAAACCCAAGGTAGGGTTTGGTTTTTGGTAAATAATTTCGCAAAAAATGGTCGCAGAGCAGCGATTTTGGCACCATCGTGTTCGCCTGGCTCAGGCGCGTCGAATGGTATACTTTTTGTCCGGGTGAGGTCAACTTAAGGTGTTGACCTCGAGTCAAGGTCAGGTCAGAGCCCATCAGGCCACGAACTTAATCGAAGGAAGTCGTATTGCATGGCATTCGATTCGGGAGGTCTTTCCGAGTCCATTGGTGGCTTTCCCGAGTCGCTGGCTCAATTTGATCATGAGTTATTGACGAGAAACTCCTATGACCGTAGTGACGTCATAAATGACGTCACGGAAGGTCAAAAATGCAAAAGTAAAGCATCGGATCTTGCAAGGAGTGCATGAAATCACGATTCCGTGTGCTGGAGACAGTTTGAGATCATTCCATGTGCAAAAACAACAGTTTCCTTATTTCCCCATTTACTTTTAATGGTGAGGTCACGTGACCTCGAAGAGTAGCAGGCATTAGCAGAAATTGCGAGTAGGGCATGTCAGAAAGATGATTAGTGGTTTGTATGGCATGGTCATTTTCAGCGGCTCGAAATAACATTTTCCGCTTCCCCTTCGAGCTGCCAGCAAACATAGAGACAATTAGCTATGCTATGCGTAACCAATCTCAGCGCCAACCTCACAACCAAGTCCCTCCAGGAAAACACTGTAGCTGTACAAAAAGGGGCTATTGGTATATTCAGCCCAAATGAACACGACACAAACATACTAGCAAGTATACATGTCTCAACCGAGACTGCCCTGCCAACGGGCCGCCACCCCTCCCCCCGCGCGGCGCAATGGTGTCCCCACCCAAACTAGAAACCCTGTCGTGTGTGTCCTCCCCCGGAAAAAGTCCTAACTAGAAAAAAACCGGGGGACCTAGTTGGGGAAAAAACCACATTTTGTGGAAAAACCCATCTTTATTTAAGAGTGTGGTGCGTGTAAAAAAAAGAGCCCCAAAAATGGTGGTGGGTGGGTGGGAAACGCAAAAACATTCCAGAGCGAGAACACTGCTGACTTGCGTCAGACCGGGCGGCTTAGAACAGAGTGACCGCGCAAATGCACCCAAACCCCGCGCCGTCACGGTCACGTGACACGAGTCGCTCCACCAATCAGAGGAGGCCGCCGCCTTAGCGGCCTCGCCGCCCGGGGGCGCAGGCGGCCGCCCGCCTGCCGCCGAACGCTGCTCGCAGAGGCCGGCCCGGCTCCGGGGCCGCCCCAGAGAAGACGCTCGTAGTGTCGCGGAAAAACCGGTTATATCTTGTCATATATAACCGGGCGTATTTTCCGCTTCCCCTTCGAGCTGCCAGCAAACATAGAGACAATTAGCTATGCTATGCGTAACCAATCTCAGCGCCAACCTCACAACCAAGTCCCTCCAGGAAAACACTGTAGCTGTACAAAAAGGGGCTATTGGTATATTCAGCCCAAATGAACACGACACAAACATACTAGCAAGTATACATGTCTCAACCGAGACTGCCCTGCCAACGGGCCGCCACCCCTCCCCCCGCGCGGCGCAATGGTGTCCCCACCCATTCAATACATCCACCCAGACACCAATGCGCCAAAATAAAACACCCCCTTCCCGAAACCAGCAGACCGAATGGGGGATACAAATTAAAGGAAAAGTGCCACCTTCTTGAAATATGAAGATATCGTTGGTTTTTATTTTGACATTATTATTTTCCATTTTCTTTTCAAAACCGGTGCCAGAAGTGCATAATTCACTAAAAAGTATTTCAAACTATTTAACATATTGGTACTATGTTTATACTCTCTACCGCAGCTACTGTATGATGTCATAGCAATGACGTCACACTCAAGCCAATCAGCCTTGAGGAGGATAGACTCGTCGGACTGTAGCGGTTGTAAACAACTTGTCGCCCCGTGTGTCTGCCCGTGACGCTAGTTATCTGTCGGAGGTAAGGGTGAAAGATGCATATAATGGCCATGGAACGCTATTTTAGGATTATTGGTGAATAGCAAGAATATAGTTTTGGTGGTTTGAAATTGTTTGTCCTCAGTGATTGGCTTGATTCTCATTTTGCGGCATAAGCGGCTGTTTGGATACATTGCATTTTTTATGATTGTGTAATAATTATGATTATGTTCCTCCAAAGTAGGCATTACATATCAATCTCAAAGGCAGATCATCGTCTTTTCATGCCTATAATTTTCTTCAAGAATATTAATAAAAAATATTCCATTTACCCCTGCCTATCATATATCCCATGGAGCTGCCGGTGGAAGTAGGCATGCAATGTGACCTAGCATTGGCGATGTGGTTAATTAGCTTTAAAGTACTATGGAATGCTAAAGGTCATCATTTAGAATGGTTTTCAAAACATTCCACTAGGAAATATTCATTGAAACCTGAAAATTACTTACAAAATGTAAATGTATAGCCACGTTTCAAGAGCATTCAGCCGTCTTCTCAGTAAATATATAATGAAACATAATCTTACCTGACCTAGCCTTACCTACAACCTACAACGTACGGCATTGGTAAAGCTGGCATCACTGTCAGCGTATATTAAGGTAGGTTGTAGGTCAGTAGGTAAGGTTAGGTTAGGTTAGATTGTTTTTAAGATTCCTTTTATCTACACATTTACCGGTTAGCGCTGACGGTGACACCAGCTTTACCGATACCCAACCTACCACCTACAACCTACAACCTAAAACCTACATTCAATGGTGGCGGGTGGTGATAATTGGTATACCTATATGATAATACTGGAGATAAATACCATACAGATTAGCTGGTATCCATGACACACTTTCTTAAGAAGAAGGTCTTCTATTAAATCATGTCTATATTATAGGAATCAAATGGTTTTTGTTGTAGTCACATTCCCTACTCTGACCATCATGTCTGATTATTTCCAGTTACCACTGACAATGCCCAAAACAAGAACAACAAAGGCCCAAAGGTGCCTGTTTGGTAGTGCGCAAAGCTGCTGGTAAGTGGCATCAAAGGATAGGATGTGCTTTGTTATTTCCAGGCACGTAGCCAGGATTTTGCTCAGGGGGGGGGGGGGTCATAGGTTGTGGCCTAGTGTTGTACCCCCTCCAAAAAAGGAAAATTTCTCGGATTAGGCCCACTATTTTGGGGGGGGGGGGTGTCACAGCCGTTTTTTTATTTTTAAAAAAATCGCCATCACCGAGGGGGGGAAGGGGCACGAGGGCATGGCTCCCGTGCCCCTCCCCCCTCCTTGGTTACATCCTTGGTTATTTCTGAGAGTTTGGATATCACAAAGCTTTAGATATAAATTAGAATGTAATAAGAAGCTTTCAGCATTGCACCTTTCCAGACACTGATAATTCATTTGCCTTTATTGTTTCAAAAGTCAATTTTCAACACAAAAAAGTTGAAATTATTAACTCAAATAATTGCAAATATATACTTTGGTAATTTGCCTTTCGCATCACTATCAACAAAATAATCAAGGGTGACTAAATATGAAATGTTCCTGCATGATCTTCATCGTGAACAATTGTCAAGGTATGATGTTTGCGTGTTGAAATGTTATAAAGAACTTATGTCATAAAAAGTAAAAACACAACTTGTAAAATTGTGTCTTTCCATATTATTCTGCAAGTAAGCCTTGGAAGGAAGAGACACTATTCCGTCCTACAGAAGCCATTTAGAAATGTGTGACATGTTCAGCACTTTGAGTCAGTCGGTGCCCGGACCTCAGTCGGCTGTATGACCGTCTCCTCGTCCTCTTTTGTCGGCTCCGCCCCGTGCTGTTCTATAAGGGTGTCTGACCCGCTGCCGCTATCCCCACTGTGAGGTCTGACCCGCCGCGCGCTGTCACCACTGTCGGCCCTCTGTGTGCGCGGCAGGTGGTGGTGGATGTCTCTGCTCTGACGCGCGGCGTGCGCCTGCTCAGTGTGGAGGTGCCGCTAACAGCGGTGCCAGCCGGAGTGGCTGCCTCGCCGGCGGCCGACATTGAGCGCGGCACGTGTCAGCCGCCGTTCGGGCCGCTGCAGCTGCTGCAGTCGGCGGCGCAGCTGTCCGTCTCCGTGTCGCTGGCCGTGCCGCTGGACCTGCTGCCGCGGCCGGCGCCGGCGCGCTGCGCCTACGGCCGCCTGCTGGCCGTCGTCTCGCAGCACGGCCTGCAGCGCAGCGGCGTGATGCAGCTCATCCAACAGCTCAACGAGCCGCCCATCCCGGCGGCGGCCGAGGGCACCGCGCCGCGCCGGCCGGGCGACGTCAGCACACCTGGCATCAGCGGCTTCTGCCTGGCCGACCGTCAGCTGCACCTGCTGTTCGCCGAGGGGCGCGCCGACGCTGAGCTGGAACAGACGGCGGCCGCGCCGCGCGCTCTGCCGCGCCGCGACGCTCGACTCTGCCACCATTCGGGCCTGCTGTTTAGGGAGCGCCTGTACCCGCGCCAGCCGGCCGCGTTCCGCGTGCTCGAGGACCGCCCGCTACGCGCCCAGCTGCTCGACACCCGCCTCTACACGTTACAGAAACAGGAGCCGGCGCGCGCCGTCCGCGCCATCAGAGAGTGCTTCCGCACGCAGTGGCTGTCGGAAAATGAACCTGCTTCCCAACGAGGCCGGCCTGCAACAACTGCTGGCCGGCTGTTGGCCGAAAAAAAACGCCTTCAACCGGATGTCAGTTGTCAAATCAACGCGTATTAATGCATTCACTATAGGATGGGCTTACGTAAAGCTGTAGAATTGCAAATATATAATGGCACTGTTTTTGATCCGTTCGGTATGCATTGGTATCATATGATCTCTCATTCACAGACGATCAGCTGCGAAGACCCAGATCCGTAGTAGAGGGCTCATCGAGTCTGGGTCCAGCTCCCCGTACTTCCTCCACTTTGGAAACACCGCAGCGCAGACCACAGTTATACATAATATTTAGTTTTCATTCACTTCATAACCGAAGGTTGTTTGATAGGTGATATGCTGCTTGAGTTGCACCCCGGTATATCAATACGAAGCTTCCGTCCCTGCCACATACCAGTGAAGGAGGCGGCGGCGGCGGCGGCGGCGGCGGCGGCCGGGGCCGGGCTGCCCTGCCCACCGACACAGTCTGTGAAATGCCTCAACAACCTTTAAATTTCAACAGGCTTCATAAATGTTTTTTTTGCACCATATTTTCTCGCGTATATGAAAGCTCTAAAATGTACAATATTCCTTTCAGCCGCAAGCGATATAAAAGCTCTACAAAACGTCATGTCTCTGTGTGCAAGAAAGACACATATATTGTGTATAATCGAGCGTACATGATCTGCAGCGCTGCGGAGGGCTGCTCGGTTGCCGCTTTTTACCAGTCGGCTCTAGGTCGGACATATGGGTAAACAAAATGGAATAGTAATATTAAACAATGCTACCAGCTGATGCTACTGGGCCTCTCATTGGTGAAGAACTGGCAGCCAGCCAGCGTGTTTTTGTGAGAACTGTTTTAACAGCAGCAACCAAACGTCTCTCGGGCCAGCGACCAGTGAGCGTAGACAGCACAGCGCTCCGTTAGGCATCGGCGGGCAAGCACGCATTAGCTGTGGACGGACCGGCCGCCCGAACATATTTGTCGGTATCGAAAGTATCGTGAACCAAATGACTGCTAGCGAAAAAAGGACTGCCTCTCGTATCCATGAAAACATGTGTTCTACAAAAGTACATAATTGCTTAGTTGTCGCCAGTCACTCATTGCACCATGGCGTCAGTGTGGGGCCGCGCCCCGAATCATCTCAATCGCCAGGCAAAGCATCTCAATCGACAGGCACATGGTAGTCCAGCTACGAATCCGAGCCGCGGCATCCCGTCTATATACCTACATTACACCACAATCGAACACTGTCGGGCCACCCGAGACAGCAGTCTCCAATGTAACATCAAAACACGCCACTCGTCTAATATCAGAAAAATGAGCATTGAGTACCTACCGAATATCGACTACAGAAGATTACAATGGGGTGCAGATCTAGCAAGAGTGTCGCGGTTCGTCTCGGCACGGCTTACAGGCCGCCGAGCCCGCGCAGATGACCGCCAGCTCCACCTGTTCCACCTCCGGCGCGGAAGCTCGATCACAAGACTGACCTCAGTCGGCGCTCTGTGCTCGGCACAGGGCGACCGGGTCAGGAGCGGGCCGCTGCCGCCAGGGCCGCGGCCACCAGCCACGCGGCAGCGCCCGCGCACCGGCCGCCACCACCCGCTCAGCCCAGATGCGCGCCACGGCGTCATTGGGCTTCCCTGAGCAGGATCGAACCAGAGCTGCATGCACGGCTCCGTATCCGCCGTGAACTTCCACGAGTGATCCCACACCTGAAAAAGGCACACGGTTTGCGTCACAGCTCGGCTCACTTTCACAGTCCACGCACCGGCAGCAATTAAGGGCTACTTAGATAGTGCGCTAATACAGCGAAATCACTTAGCTTAATCCATATAGTCAACCATGAATTGTTAATTACGAGCGAGCGAGCGAAGCGAAGTCTTTTCAATATCACGGAAAAAGCTCAGTATGAGCGCCGAGCGGCCCGACCCGGCCCGGCCTGTAACGCTTTTGAGAGGCTTATATCTCAGCAACCGCTGGACCGATTGGCCTGCGGTCTTTTTTTTTTGTTGGGTAGCCCTATTCCCTCTACCCCGTAATTGACTACTTTTGATACATCACAGGGACCGTCGTGGCACGTGCCACCTGAAAAGTCAAGGGTGTTATTTGTCAAAAGTTGCAAAAGAAGTGATTTTGAGAGGCTCATATCTCAGCAGTCGCTTGGGCGGTCTTGCGGTAAATTTTGTAGGGTAGATGCACCCCTTCAACCAAAGGTCGGATGCTCTTGATCTATGTGAGTGACCCCCACTGCACGTGCAAAATGCAAAAAGAAGAGGTGCCGAATTTGTTCCCATTTCAATAACTCTGTAATTACTGGGGCGATTTAGCTGAAACTTGGCATACAGGTAGGCAGTAGGCACCCACCAGACAATGCATTCCCATATGTTGCGGTTAGGGTGCTACTGCTTAGTGTATTATGTGTAAAATAAAGGACGCTTGAATCTTACCTGAGTGATGTCCATTTCTTGATCACTTTCATCTGTGGGTGACCGAGCAGCGACAGCAACCCAAGGCGTATACGGAATCTGTAAAAAATCAGCACACCGTTACCACATGTTTTAATAAAACTTACCTATAGGGAGGTAGCATAAAATACAGATCAAAACAATAACATACAAACATACAGATATTCGGTTAGGTTGAAATGGCTAAAAAATATAAAAAAATAAGGGCAAGGTACTAGGGCTGTAAAGCTGTAAGGGCTCGGTACTAGTAATAATTTTTGGCTAAAAATATCACAAATAAAGACTCTGCACTAAAGCTGTAATGTCTGGTACTAGGAATAACTTTAGAGTGAAGAGTTACAAAAACAATATTCAAAGTCTTTTGATAACTTTTTTTTTTTTAAACAATATAGCAGGCATTTTCATCACTTTTAAAAAATAACTTACAGTCTGATCCGGCAAAGCACTGTTCTTTAGACGCAAACGTTTTTGACTGTGCTTATCATGGTGCGCACTTCTTGTTAAGTTTAAGTGGTCATGTGGTCTTGGCTCATTGGTCATGCGGTCATGCCACACACCCTCATCCACTTTTCTCTGTACTTCTTTTTTTAGCGGGAACCTAAAAGTAAAAAAGGGTCAACACATGCTTAGTCCATGCAACACATACTCTGTGTATTAACCCTCGCCCGCACATAGGGGGGGGGTTGCCACCCCCCCCCCCCCAGGTAGTCTTTCTGCTCTGCACTCAACATTTTTAGAGCTAGAAGGCTGATTTTTCGTATAGCTGCTCCTCTATCCTTTCTTGATGTCCACTGAAAATTTCAAGTTTCTGTGATTTTTGGTTTCGGAGATATGACCTTGTTTTTCAGGTCATGTCATGGCCCAAATGGCCAATTCTCAACATCTTGCGCTTGCCATGGGCCTTGTGAGCTTTTGACACCCTGATTTCGGCCTTTTTTGCCAGTCTTACCTCCCACCTATCATGGAACATGTTGTTCGACGATGTACAGGGGTCAAGGTCAGGGTCAAGGTCAACCTAGGTCATCTAAGATAATTGCGTTTTAGGCAAGCTGAATTTACTTTTTGTGAAGTTTTTTGACTGCATTTTTGGTAAAAGCTTCTCAGATCATGATTTCATGTAATATGGACCCAAAAATAATCGGTGCACACATCAGTATACACACAGACACACACAGACATACAAACACATATAATTGACATTGACCTAACTTGACCTGAAATGACCTCAGCAGCAAAATTCTGGTTGGGTAGTGTGATAAAGAGGTTCTAGCTAGTTGGCACCAGAAAACAGCATCGTCATCGGTATTTGATAAGCAGCGCACTTGATATCCAACGGTGACCCAAAACAGCAATATTTTTTTAGTTTGACCTGACCTGGAAGGTCAATGACTGACCTGAGAAGGTAAAACTGGGTATCATTGGATTCGTCTCTTCCCAAAGAATCTTTTTGGTCTTTACCGCTAAGCTCTATCTCCAACAGGAACGAAATGGCGCGGGGGGTGGCAACCACCCCCCCCCCCCATGTGCGTTCTAGGATGGGAAAATGGCATGTGCGGGCGAGGGTTAAGCTGAATAGCTCCACTGAGCCCAGTTTCACCAAGTGCGGTAAACTTAATTTTGGGTTAGTTTTTGTAGTTAAGTAGTGGGGTAGTTTGGTAGTTTACCCCAAATTGAGTTTACCGCACTTGGTGAAACTGGGCTCTGGTGAGTTTCCTTTTCTTGTCAGCACATAAGTGAAAGAAAACTGTGTAGACAAGAGATGAACCAGACCCCCATGGAAAGGTAGGTGTTACCACAACCAGGAAATGGGATTTGAAGGGCTGGATAAATGTGTCTGAGTTCTGCCTTTCAGCCAGACTGGAAAACATCCATATACTACGCCGGACGCCCGTGAGCCCCTCATGCGCCAAAATTTGAAGCAAGCAATTTTGAGCTGAAATTCCAGTGCATGATTTCCACTGAAAGTTGGGTGCCTGTTTGCACCAAAATTAAGCCACTTTTACATAAAGCACACGTGCATATCTACCGACCAAGGCTATATCAACCGACTCTCTTCAGACCTGCCAGCGCCCGCAGGGCAAGTCTGCTGCTAGATTGACCACAGCGTGTCAAAAAATTCAGTGACAGCCATTTGCATAAACATTATGCGCCATGCGGTCACCCTGCGCCTAAAAATTCAGCTGCCACCATGCGCTGAATTTGACGCATGCAAAATTATGCTGGATGTGCAATGAAATTTTCGAGGCAACGCCGCAATCACGCCACTTCGCCTGACATATTTGGCATAGCTTGTGTTTTTTTATCCAGTCTGGCATTTCAGTTGTGAAAGCCTGAACAGTTCAAAAGGGTTTGCTAATCCAGGGGAGAGTTCTGTGAAAACAAAAGTAATAGAAGAGCCATTGCAATAAATAAGAATTTAGGTACCTACCTAGGTACCTACTTTGACTTACTTGTGCACAGTCACACGCATATCAGTCCCGACCCGACGTAGGTCGTTTGCTCCGCGGATCACGCACTTCTTCATCGTTATTATAGGTATTTGTTCGAAGTCGAACAAAAATGCCCTGATTTCGGATCAGAGCCACGGTATAAAATATGGTATACTGCCTTGCGTAAGATAAAAATACATTTTAGCAATTGGCTACCAAACGAGATGTCATCTGTTCAGGGCATAGCATAGGTTTACTTTCATAGACCTCATGAAAGTAGCTCATGAAACTCATCACCAATCAGCGCGACGGATTTCAAGATTCGATTGCGGATGTTCATCCGCCGGCCGATTGCCAGAACAGACAACGAAAAATAACACAACTGCTCGCGGTCTGCTCGCTAGTACAGGGATCCGTGCCTGATCAGTACTGCTGCAAGCTGATTGGTTAAAAACCAAAGCCTCGCCGCGGGTGGCTGTATTGTCGGATAAGAACGCATTCCTGGGATAAGAACGCATTCCTGGCATATTTTCTTTTAAAATTGCCGATAACTACGAATCGAGGCCGAAATCGGCCGTAAGGGGGTAGCCAAGTAGGTTTTCGGACACGGGCTACAAGATGGCTATCTCAGTTTCAATCCCCATGTTAAAGGTGGCCCTTTTCCTTTAACACAAAAGACCTCTAGTCGCCGCCAGTGTCGAGACCAGTGGCAGAACCCACCCAAATACGTGCTTGGTTGAAGGTAGGTAATTATTTCCTCAACCTGGCCCGAAGCTTACCAGAAACGCCACGATCCCTAAAACCTGCCAACATGAATGTGAGCGATACAGCGGTCACCAATGAAGAACAATATTACGGCATTACAGCAGCCCTTACAGCAGGACTAACAACCATTAGCATTAGCCACTACTGCGATGATAGCCTCCACCAACTAAAGGCCCTCGATATACCCGCCGAAAAAACAACCATCCATGAGTTCTGAGGCATCTGACAACAGAAGCTGTATATTCCTTTACCTTGAACCCTATGCACATGCCTATCAGCGCGACCATTAATTTTCCCAGAACTTTGGAAGGGGTTAGAACAGCATTAACGAAGGTCGTTGACAGCCGCCCAGCAAAAAAGGGGAGGGCTCTCACCCGCTCCAGGAATCAGCGCTCTAAGCCGCCGTAAGGACACCCGCGCTATCGGGCGTCCTAGCGGCAGCTACCTACGGGTAGACTAGCGAGCCGCCCCGTGTCCGTTGTAGAAGGTGGAAGAATGGAGCATCCCGGGCAGCACCAGAGGCCATGAGAAACGGCTTCCCCGGGCAGACTAACGAGCTGCTTTTTTATTTTATTATTGTTTTTGTCATTGTTAAATTATTATTGTTGTTATTATTATTATTGTTATTATTAATGCTATTACTTTAGCGCCGCCCCTTAAAAAAAAAAACATGGAAACCCATTGGTTGTTAGGCAATTGAAAACAGAGGCCGCAGCTACTGTTACGTGTACCTTAGCCCCTGTGCTATACGTGGCAATGATAACGACCATGAATGTTACCTAAAATTTTGCAAGGGGTTAAAACAGTGACCACGAGACTATAGGTAATCAGGTCATAGATAGCCGACCAGCAAAAAGGGGAGAGCTCTCAGCGCGCGCCGGCATCAGCATTCTAAGCCTCCGGAATGACGCCCGCGCTATACCGGCGTCCTGGCGGCAGCCACCTCCAAGCAGACGAGCAAGCCGCCCCGAGGCCGTTGTAGAAAAGTACATCTTCGGCAGACTAGACAGCTGCCCCGAGGCCGTTATAGAAGGGGACACCCCCGGGTAGACTAGCGAGCTGCCCCGAGGCCACTGTAGGAGACGCCCCCGGGCAGACTAGCAGGCTGTCCCGAGGCCGTTGCAGGAGAGGACACCCCCGGGCAGACTAGCGAGCTGCCCCGCGGGGTCGTTGTAGGAGGGGACACTCTGGGGCAGACTAGCGAGCTGCCCCGAGACCGTTGTAGAAGGGGGCACCCCGGGCAGACTAGCGAGCTGCCCAGAGGCCGTTGTAGGAGAGGACACCCCGGGCAGACTAGCGAGCTGCCCCGAGGCCGTTGTAGGAGAGGACACCCCCGGGCAGACTAGCGAGCTACCTCGGGGTCGTTGTAGAAGGGGATACCCCCGGGAAGACTAGCGAGCTTCCCCGGGGTCGTTGTAGAAGGGGACACCCCCGGGCAGACTACCGAGCTGCCCCGGGGTCGTTGTAGAAGGGGACCCCCCCCCGGGCAGACTAGCGAGCTGCCCCGGGGCGTTGTAGAAGGGGACACCCCCGGGCAGACTAGCGAGCTGCCCCGGGGTCGTTGTAGAAGGGGACACACCCGGGCAGACTAGCGAGCTTCCCCGGGGTCGTTGTAGAAGGGGACACGGGACACCCCCGGGCAGACTAGCGAGCTGCCCCGGGGTCGTTGTAAAAGGGGACACCCCCCGGGCAGACTAGCGAGCTGCCACGGGGTCGTTGTAGAAGGGGACACGGGACACCCCCGGGCAGACTAGTGAGCTGCCCCGGGGCGTTGTAGAAGGGGACCCCCCCCCCCGGGCAGACTAGCGAGCTGCCCCGGGGCGTTGTAGAAGGGGACACCCCCGGGCAGACTAGCGAGCTGCCCCGGGGTCGTTGTAGAAGGGGACACACCCGGGCAGACTAGCGAGCTTCCCCGGGGTCGTTGTAGAAGGGGACACGGGACACCCCCGGGCAGACTAGCGAGCTGCCCCGGGGTCGTTGTAGAAGGGGACACCCCCCGGGCAGACTAGCGAGCTGCCACGGGGTCGTTGTAGAAGGGGACACGGGACACCCCCGGGCAGACTAGTGAGCTGCCCCGGGGCGTTGTAGAAGGGGACACCTCCGGGCAGACTAGCGAGCTTCACCCGGGACTTGCAGAATCGGGCATCACAAGATTCTCCGAATGTTCAGGACAATTACCCGACCCGAATACAAAAATAACCGTTTTTGAAATCTGATAGCATCCGCATCACCCGCCACGGGCAACAAGCTTGCCTTTCCGCGAAGCTCCGGATTGATAAGGGACCAAATGACCGGCATACAGACAGCCCCTACGCTGTAAACTAAAACAGGCCAATATGGGTATAAGGGTTGCCGTTGCTTCCCAGCTCGACACGTTTTGGAGGTGTTTACTGCCTCCAAACGCCGAGCCGGCTCAATGTCACCCATAGAAGGTACAGTAACTCACCCACCAACCAACCATAGGCAGGTCCTGAGTGACGTCAACCCCGATGCTGGCGAGGGGTACCCCGTACCAGTGCCCCAAAATTTGTTGATTTAGGTGGGAAACGACATCCAAATGAAAATCACTCTTCACTCGCCTCCATTTTTAAGCCCATTTTCCACTCCCAATTTTACCAAGAAAAAGCATTTGCATGGATCGATAGCCATTTTACTTCCCACATACCAGCCTTGTATTAAATTTTGCTGTACATTCTTTTTTCCACTCTTTTTAGGCCTTATCTGACCATCAATTTTCCACCCTTATCCCTTATTTGGTGAGTAATTTTCATATACCCGGGAAACAGGGGGGCAGCGGGGGCGCTTGCCCCCCTCCCAACCTGAGAGCCGAGGGGCGGCGCCCCCTCAACATTGAGGCAGCGAGAAAGGACCTTCCCTCCCTTTTCCGGACTTCTTGTTTCCTTTATACACCTAAACATAAACACACGACATTTTCCTTGCCATCTGAATGGTTTCTGCTGTTACAAGTATCGATTTGACATCTGCTGTTGACATCCCGCTTTTGTTTGGGCCTGGCCTTGGCCATAAGTTTGGCAGGCCAGCTTTTACACTGGACCATTTTGAGTCAACCTTGAGAAATACCTTAAGTACAACTGTGGTAAAATCGTTGCTATAGGTATAACACAGTTTACCCGCTCCGGGTGTAAGGGAGGGGTGTGGGGCAATGAGTGCACTGACGTGGCGCCCTTGGAAGGCCGGTATGGGATTAAAAGCTCAGCGACACTAAGCGCTTGTATGGTACCTTCGGTTATCGTTAGCATCCTCAGAATCACCGGCGTAGGGCCCTAAGAGCCGCCGGTAAGGGGCCTTTAGAGGCACTGGTGTGGGAATGTCATGCAGGTGCCGGTGTGGGCGCTCAGAGGTGCTAGTGTGATTCTCTCAGAGGCGCCTAGCAACCTAGCAACGCATACTGACTTACTTCATTTTAGCTTTAATAATAGTACCTGACCTGTATTGTTCAATGTTCATTCGCTGTTTTGCAGGAGAAAGGTCATATCATATTCTATAGCGACAAGTAGAAATAATTTGCTAAGAAATAGACCGCTTTGAAGATAGTTACAGACGATTTAACAACCCTCAGCAGCAGCAGCAAACCAAGGTTGGAAACACGTCTAACGTTAGAGTTGACTAGATTTCATTTTTTATCTACGGGCTCCGCCTAACGATTTTATCACAATTTTATTACTATCTTAGTATCTTACTTTCCACCAGCATTGCCCTCATGTCCCTTTTGATGGAACCAAATATCCCCTCAAAAATGCCGATATCGCCCATGCCCAAGCGTTCACTATCCACCCTATCGGGTCCCCTAGAACCTCCATTAACTATGCACCGGGCCCCGTACATGGAATAACGTACCTTCTTAAACCCCGGCCACCTTGGCCTATACCTGACGATGTCCCGTAAGACCTGCTAGGCAGCACCACTGAAGCAAGATGAGCTGGGAGGGGCCGGAACTCCCTCAGCTGACGTGGGAGCTGTGAAGGAAACCTCCAGCGGCCAAAGAAGACTCTGGCAAAGCGGGCCGGCCCCGCCGAGTGTGCCGATCCGTCGCCGTTCAGAGTCGGATGCCAACCACCAAGCCATGGAAGAAAAAAAATAGATTGTGTCACATAGCCATTTTTAGCCGAAATCTCGTATCAATAGGGGCAATATACCTAGAGCCATTTATCTGACAATGCGTGTGATGAGATATCGGCAGGATATGCATATTGCAGATGTCGCTTATGCAGGCCACGGCAATGCTCTATTGACCAACTACAAGAAAGGCACCTCTCTCTGGCAAAAAAAAAAAGATTTACAAACGTCACTACCATAAAAAACGAAACACAGTTAACTCGTACCTCAATGCAGAGTTAGAGCCACACAATCACGGGCTACCCTAAAACTGCATTCTAGAAAATGGCACCTACTGCAGCCTTTAAACATGGGTGTGAAAAATTCCTCTGGGTAATAGCCTGTAACTTACTATGCTATCGCTAATGCATCCCAAAACCACCTTACATAAATCCCCCTCTAATCCATAATATCCTAGTCCGCCGAGGCTTATCACACCCAACCTGGGTTCCACTGTATCACCTCTGTACCTCTGTATCACCCACTAAACCTTTCATTCCAACCTATCAACACCAGATAACAATACCATCTTAGACCAATACCATTGCATTGGTTATCCTTACAATGAACTCCATTTACCCTCTCAAGTCTCACCCGGTAGTTGGTACCCTTGTTATTAACAATCCCTAACCCACTATTGAAAACCCCGCTCGGACACGCTCGGACAGAGCCAACATCACCAGCAGCTCATTCTCCACGGGGTACGCCCACCTGTCACACCTTACGCCAGTAACCGTTCACCTGTATGGGAACCACAGTTCAACCAACACCAGGCACCACAAAACGGCAATTTTACCAACTCTCTGCACAACCACCGGCCAACACCACGTGGCCACCAAACCCTACGCCGGCCAGGCCGTGCACTCTGAGCTGCTACACCGAGGAAGTATGAGCTGATTTCACTCGCACGGAGTGTAGAATGGCAAAGTCCGGCGCTCCGTTCCAGGGAAGAAGAAAAAAAAAATAGTTACAGCTATGTTTCACCTAGCAAATACCTACACTCAATCTCCCAAAATCTGAAAAAAACACACAAAGCCTATTTCTACCAGCAGTCCAAGTTTCGTTGTTTCATCTAACCTTCAAAGAACCTATAATACCGGGCATTTGCCGACCCAGTGCTCATCGACCCTCTTCTTACCGTGATAGCATAGCATAAGCACAAAAATAACCAAACCTCATGCCGAAAATGAAAAAAAATCAGACAAACAACAAACCAGTAAAAAAATAAACATAAAACCCCGAAAGGAAAAACATCCTCGTCAATCAATATAACATTGATATAAAACCGAACTTATACTCCCCTTGATGTCTTCCAGTTTCCACTGAACACGACCGCAGTAAACGCAAAAACATTCCAGAGCGAGAACACTGCTGACTTGCGTCAGACCGGGCGGCTTAGAACAGAGTGACCGCGCAAATGCACCCAAACCCCGCGCCGTCACGGTCACGTGACACGAGTCGCTCCACCAATCAGAGGAGGCCACCGCCTTAGCGGCCTCGCCGCCCGGGGGCGCAGGCGGCCGCCCGCCTGCCGCCGAACGCTGCTCGCAGAGGCCGGCCCGGCTCCGGGGCCGCCCCAGAGAAGACGCTCGTAGTGTCGCGGAAAAACCGGTTATATCTTGTCATATATAACCGGGCGTATTTCTCAAGAAGTCTAACTAAAGAGCAAGTTGTTGTTGATTATCACTGACTTGTGTTTGGGGGTTAATAATGACTGAATTTTTTGAGTTTGGCCCAAAATTTTTGACAGCATTGTGTGCGTTGATCAATTCTGAGCTCAGGAACATATATTTTATTCAGATTATACGCGTTTGTTTTTCACAACTTCCCGATAGGCGTTATTACAAGTGTATTCGCGGCCATTGGGGCGACGTAAGAAAAGAAGAAAACAACTGGCCCCAATAACTTTAAATTATCAGTTAGCATGCACCTTTTCCTTGATATGTGGAGAATTTACCATTAATTGTTAGAGCAAATTGCATTTAAAATCTTCCATTTATGCTTTTTTCATCGTTTGCACAGTATGTTCTTTTACTAAGCTGGAAACACTAATTAGAAATAGTTCCCGCATCATCAAGAACAATAGGGAAGGCTTGAAGTGAATACAATAATCTAAACGGTTTTGTAATCCATGTGAAGACACTTCTACAATTGCCTGTAGAAATATTAAAGGCAAAAGTTCAACCTTTTCACAAGACGGATGGCTATAAACCTATTCAACGTGTGACAACTCAGCCGGTATTTCGTCGCCTACAGCCCAGCTTTCCCTAGTGACCGATAGAGGCGCTGCTATCGATGTCCACCCGTGCCGCCTAACGCAGCGCTTTAAAGAGCGCCAGGCCTTCAGTAGAGCGGCGAGGTGACAATTGCTCCTACATCATGTGGTTTACTGGTGCATATCTCGAAAAGTAGCAGGGAAAAGCAGCAAAGCACCTATATGGAACGAAAGATGAGTAATCAGAGGCTAGTATAAAATGTTCATTTAAAACAATTTTCCGAAAAACGCCATGTTAATTTTGTGTTTTAAATATGAGGCTGTTGTGCATAAATCACGTGCAAACTGCTCGCAGACAAAATAAACGGTGACATTTTTGCAAAACGTCGCCGTCGTCGTCGCAGCAGCCCTTGCAGCAGCCTTGGCAGCAGCATTCACTTGGTTATAAATGAAAACATGAGGTGAAAAATCGTAATAATCTTTAAAACCTTAGTGTATTACCTAAAGTTTCTGAAATTGGAATGTCAGCCCGATCAAGAAGACATCAGGACTTGCTGCTGAACGAAGAGAGCAAGTGTGAATTAACCCTCGCATGTGTAGGGGGGGGGGTCGGATGGACCCCCCCATGGTTTTTCGCAAATAACTCGCGTAAAAAGCGGCCGATCGCGACGAAACTTTCAGTACCCTCGCATTGATCAATTTGACACCTACCCTGAAAATTTCATGACCCTGACCCAAATGACCTTTGACCTGTGACCTCTTTTCCGAGACCATGTTTGGCCGGAGTCGCGATTTCGCGTATGTCGGCTCGCACTAGCCGCGTGTTTGCAAGCTTTTCGTGGTTTCAAACGTTCAAACATGTGATTTGATGTTACTCCCGTGTGTGTCAAGGTCACCTGAAGGTCAGGTCAGGTCATTGACCTTTGGTGACCTCGGGTGACCTCGGGTCACTTTTTCGAGTTTTACATGTTTCTAGGCTAGTTTTTGGAGCTGAATTCGAATTTAGCAACCATTTGAACATTTACGAAGTAGTTTTGGTGACTTCGTAACATGTTACGAAGCTGTCAGAGGCGTTTGACACGTACTACGAATACCCGTCACGACGCCTATTGGTTGACCTGACCTGACCTGACCCGACCTGGTCTAAATGCTTAAAGACATCATCTGTGATCAAAACTAACACGATATTCGTGATCAGCACCCCGAAAAACCCCTTAGCAGCCACACTTTACGACTTTCTAACAGGTCCCGATTTTCCCGACTTTGGGTCATTGACCTGACCTGGAAGGTCAACCAATGACCTAGGACCCTAAAATTGGGTATCATCGGCTTCCTCTCGTCACGGGCAACACGCTCGTTTTTTCCGCGAAGCTCTAGCTCGATCAGGGGCCAAACGGCAAGGGGGGGTCCAACCGACCCCCCCCCCCCCTACACATTAGAAGCTGGCAAACGCCGCACACATGCGAGGGTTAATGCAAGGAGCCGAACAAACGACGCATGTTTATAGATATATTTTCTGGCTGCAGTCGGGTTATTATTTATGATCATGTGCTCTTTCCTTTTCCCCAAAAATCAAGTCCCAACTTTTTTCTTTACCTCACAAATAACCCTCTTTACACACAAAACTATACAGAAATGGGCAGTTCTGCACATTCGTGATAATAAATCTTGGCTTAAAATTGTTTTAAATACACATCACTTTTCCGTCGTGCAAGAATATTTATGCACTCAACTTTGCAATTTAAGACCACTCGTGCTTAAATGATTAAAGCACTTGTTCATAAATGAACATGTGCTTAAATAATCATTTAAGCACATATGACCTTAAATCGCAAAGTCTCGTGCATAAATATTCTTACACTTCGGAAAAGTGACGTTAACATATATTTTAAGCCGCTCGAAATCACATTGTTATAAAAGTCTAATTAAAAAATTAGAAATGATTTTTATTTACGTCTTGCAGCTGCTTGCAAAAAACTAGCTTATCTTACAGAAAAGCGATGCGATATGTAAGAATGATGTTGGCACAGTGAACAACAGTGCCCTGAACTAGTCTGACAGGAAATTTCGTTCAAAACGACGATTGGTCAGCTAATAAATTACCACCACTAAAGATCATCATGAAAATCGGTAAATGTGGTGGCCACTAGAGTCTAAATTGTCTTGTGTTTGGTGACAACTGACACCTCAATTTTGAACTTAGGGAAAAACTGGCATCGGAATAGTATTCTTCGATTAATTTGGGATTAAATGCTACCTGTTTTGTTCATATTGCGGACGGTCAGTTTGGGGGAATTTCTAGCGCTTTTTCGGGCTGCCGGCCTACAGTGCCCCGCCGCTGCTGTGGCTGTCTTCATCTGGATTTGTTAGGAGCCGTGCTTGACTCGAATTGCCCGAGCCGTCCGGAGTGACGGAGTCCCTCCCGGGCCGAGAAGAGTGAGCTTGGTTTTACTGACTCCATCTTGAAACTGGAAGAAGTCCGATGCGTCCAGTACTTCAACACTCATTCCTGATGCCTCTACCAAGTTCGTGAAATCGCGGAAGTCACACACTTCCTTTGTCTTTGCGAGCTTCCGCTGGACCAGCTGGTGCGCGGCATCGGCGCTCATGGACGTATGGCCAGGTTCAAGGAACTTCAGGGTGATGACATCGGACGCGTTGTCCACCTGTTAAACGTACGTCAGCAAGACTGTTATCAAAGTCCACGACTTATTTTGTGCCGAGCAGTTGTCCACAAACAGTGTGATCTTGTTTTTTATCGGTGCTGGCTCAGGAAGGCCCAGTAAGACGCAGCTGTGTCCTCAGTGTCCCTTCCGGCTGTCGCCTCATGCTACAAAACAGCCAGTGGCTTGTTGCTTTCCGCTCTTTTCTGATCTTTCTTCTCCAGTGGCGCAAACGTTTCATTGAACACAAGGAGCCTCGGCGTTAAGACGGCTACTTTGTGCAGAAGGATAGGGATGAGCGAAATCTTCATGAGATCAGCGCTGTACACTATCTCATTTTCGGCCCAATCTCGATCTGCGTCCTTGCGGTACTCCCTTCTGCCTTCTCTGGCACGTTCGATGTGTTCTTCATATTCTCCGCAAGGTCCACACTTCTCGTCATCGCCCATCTCTTGGTGAGTCTTGGCGTGTATGTTGTGCATATTACACATCACACTCCTCGTGGCCCAAAACGGTGAAGCTTATGTTCATGCTTTGAACTTCTTTTCTGTACCTTTCATACCCGACCTTCAGGCCTTCGTGCTTTGATTTGAAATCCCGGTACATATCCGTGATGCGGATTTCTGAAGGCAAGTACCTGCGATGAGGCGCATGTGCGTAACGATAGTGCGGGCGGCATGGGCGGTAGCTTTCAGCGACAGACGGCTGGGGTTGAGGCCAAGTGCACGTGATGTCTCCTCAACAGCAGAGCGCAGTCCAGTTACGAGAGCCTCCTCGGCCACTGCCAGGATGCTCTCATCCTCAGACTCGTAGCGCCTCCTGATG